GATAGAGTATTTAGTTTTTATTTTTGACCAATACTTTTAATAAATGAGCGAAAAAGAAAGAAAAACTTCAAGAACAAAAAAACATCAAAAAATTCAAAAGAAGAAAAAGATAAATAAAAAAAAATTCATAAAAAAAATACTCTATTTATATCCTTATTATATGAAAATAATAAATAGCAAAATTTAAGTCAACTAAAAAATATTTGGATTCTGTATTACAAACAAAAATATGAGTCAACAAAAAGTGTAAGCAACAAACTAACATCTTGCCTCAACAAAAAAAATATTTAAGTGAATGAAAGCGACAAACAAACAAGTGCAAAATCAAATTAAGATGATATTCTAAATCACAAAGAAAAACAATTATTCTTGACATGTCTTCAATTCTTAAACTGACTGATGAAAAAGTTGACTTCTATAATTCAATCTTGTAGTTGTAATCTATGAAATTTTATTATAATTTGGTATTTCATACAAAAGGACAAAATCAAGAACAAAGAAAAAAAGGCAAAAGGTCTTCAGGAGTGCAAGCCACAGTTTTTTTAATCTTCCACTCATTGCTGCAAGACATTAATGGTAAAAAATGTTGTCTATTTTTAAATCTTGTGTCTGGCAAAGGTATGGATCAACTTCTTGTTGTTCCAAAGCTTCCATCAGAAACCAGAGAAGCATATACATCAGCAGTTTATGAATCTTCAGTTTTAAAGGGCATCAAAAATAAAGTAAAATGTTTGTGTTTTGACACAAATTCAGTGAATTCTGGGATAAAAAAAGGTACATGCAGTCTTCTTAAATAGAAAATGGAAAAAAATATGATTTAACTTGTATTTAGTCTCTATATTTTTAAAATCATGTTTAAAGCAGATGTTCTTTCTGTTGAACCATTCAAGAGTCCAGATGTCATATTTTTGAGCACAAAATTTTATGCTTACCTCTTAATTCTTGCCTAGAAAATTATGTAGCAAGACAATAGAAACAATAGAAGGATATAAGCACCTGCCCAATGAGTATTTTTTATCAGGACATAATGTCTAACTTTTTATTAACCAAGATCCCCAAGGCAGGGGTGTCTTTAGACAAAGTTAAGTTCTTTTTACTCTTGCCTAGAATTGCAAGTCCAACAAGGAAGTATGACAAGTGCAGATTAAACTGGATTATCTGTTATCAGTAGCAGAGCAATCGTGATGATCCTAATTTTAAATGTTGTCAACAATATTTTAATTAGCATCAGTAGCAGAATCAGCTTTTTTTCTGTCTACTGTCATTAGCAACAAATATGTCATCAGTATAGAACATATAAGCAAAGACTTCAGTAGATACATCAACTGACTATCTAGGTAGAACATGCAAAGGAGTGCTGCTACATCAACTGAGGGTTTGGGTTTAAATTTTACATAAAATTGATTTAAATAAGTACCTCTGCAAATTTCTGTGCAAATTTTCCAAACACAAACGCAATGGAGATACTTTAACATTATTTAATGGAGATACTTCTGCTTCTTTTTGAAGTTTCTCTTCTTCTCTATTTAAATAAAAAATGTCAAAATCAAATAAATTAATTTATATAAAAAAATGCCAACATTGAATAAACCGAAGAACTTCTAATATATATTAAAAGGCTCACTTTGTAAATTTTATGTGTATTTTCTTCATAACAGGCTCTAAGTCAACATTTTCAGTATCTACTTGTTTCTTTTGCTTTCTTTCTGACTGTAAAAACCACACAAAAAATAAATAAACAAAAATCTTTTATAAAAAAAAAATTTTTTACCACCTTTCCAAAAACTCTCAAGCCTTCATTACCAATGATACATATATAGCCAGAGCCGGCTTCAAAAAACAGACTTTCAGTTCTATAGCCAGAACCCTAACCACTACACAAACACACACACACACAAAGATGTATATATATATATATATATATATATATATATATATATATATATATATATATATATATATATATATATATATATATATATATATAATGAAAAAAAAGATTGCTGTCCCATGCCAAACCCTTAGTCAATGTAGCATCAACCCTTTGCAGCAACAGGCTATAAGATAGTAGTAAGTGACCAGGGCCCTGGCTAAAAATGAGACTTTTTGCTAATCCGGCACCGGGAAAATTATAAGATTTAGCAGGGGTTGATAGCCAGGGCTGAAAATAAATTTATAAATCTTTATATATTATAATTTTATACTTACATTTACTATTTATTAAATTCTGGCATATATTTATGCTAATATATAATAAATAGGGACAGATACAGTAAAAGGATGCAACTTGTTAAATAAGAAACCAAGTAAGAATGAGTTTTGGTTTATGGTAATAGAGATGATAGCTCGTTTGAGCATTGACCATGATTAGAGAAACAGCACAAAAAAGGAAGGCTAAAGCCTGAATATTGTTATCATCATCAGCAGATGATGATGATGATGATGATAATGATGATGATAATGACAATGATGATAATGATAATGATGATGGCGATGATGATGATGATGATGATGATGATAATAATAATGATGATGATGATTATGATGACAATGATCATGATGATCATGATGATGATCATGATGATGATCATGATGATGATCATCATGATGATCATGATGATGATCATGATGATGATCATGATGATGATCATCATGATGATCATGATGATGATCATGATGATGATCATGATGATGATCATGCTGATCATCATCATGATGATCATCATGATGATCATCATGATGATCATCATGATGATCATCATGATGATCATCATGATGATCATCATGATGATCATCATGATGATCAAACCTAGCTATATTTTATCAAACCTGTCCCCGGCCCCAGTCAATTATCAACCCCGGTTGTTTACTATAAGATAGTTGATGTATGAACCCCTTCAATTTCCTGTTTTTGCATGTCATCAGTGTGCCTCTAATGCTGCATTTATATATGCAACCTTCGGAATTAAGAAAATTGAGGTTGGCAATTATTTGTCAATCTCAATCTTTTAGAGGTTGGCATCAGGTCGGCAAATAAAATTTAATAAAATGGTCTTACCAAAAACGAGGTCAGCAATTTTTTTCTGATATCAAACATTTTTAGGTCGGCATCCCGCTGACCCTGTGTATGTATATATATATATATATATATATATATATATATATATATATATTTTCGACATTTTCAACAGCGTCGACCGTATTTGGGCGCCCGAATTAAAATTTGAGCATCTTTTTTTTTTTTAACATTTTTAACGGCAAATATTGCGAAAAAACTCCCATTTTTTTGCTTAAGTCTGTCGAAAGGGTACCATCGCCCAAAATATTTTCCTAGAATAGGTCCTGATATATATATATATATATATATATATATATATATATATATATATATATATATATATATATATATATATATATATTCACACACATATATATGAATGATTTTAAATGTATTCTACAAAATAGAGTGCTCAATATTTTAAAAAGAATGCATTCACTTCTCTTTGTTAAACTAACAGAGAATTTGAGTGACCTTTAAAAAAAATTGTAAACAACCAGTTTCAAAATAAAGAAGTTAAATAATATGGTAAGGTCTCCCTTTATTAACTGCTTTGTTAATTTTCAGTTAAACTTTCTCCATTGGCCAGCACTGTTAACTAGTTTTCATGCTGTTTTTTTCATTGCATCTAAACATTGCAACGCCAACAGACAATTATAATGCTTAATTAATAAATCGTAGACTGTGATTTTTTACACAATAATAGCTGAATATATCTTTAAGTTTAAATAAAACACACTACAATAAAAAAACTCTAAGAATTTGAACTTTATACTTAGTTTATATTTTATATAACATAAAGTGCTGCAGACACTTTATATTAAAAGAAACATTTTTGTAACAATTTAAACTTATTATGCTTGGTATGGTTTCAATAGAGAAAGTTTTCAAGTAACCTCTACAGGGCTTTGTCTCAGACCATATACAAAGCTTTATTGCCAACCCAACCCATGATTTGTTGCTAAAGTCTTATATAATTATGTTGCTAGTTGTTAGTTGTTGCTACAGTCCTGTATGATGTAAATAGACAACATGGATTGAGTAGGCAAAAAAAAGATATGAACCATAGATTATAAAATTTTTTTTTACATAATCCAAAACAGCTCTAACATATGTAACACAGTATAAATACTTGGGAGATTTGATATCAAACGATATGACAAAAAAAAACATAAAACAACTATATTTTATATATACTAAAGCTAATCTTATTATCAGAAAGTTTAACTTAATGAAACTTAAAGTTATTAGCCAATTGCAAATTAAGCTCAAGTTATTTAATGCCATTTGCAGTTCTGCTTATAGATATTAGTAACTGTAACTTCTGCAAAAAGACTTGCTTGCTGGTCTATGTGTTCAATACAATAATGTATTTGGTTTGACTTTTTCATAATGGACCAGTGCTTGCTAGCCATTTTTTGAAACATGGTAACATGGAAAAGATTCAAAAATACATGGTCCAATAAAGGGTTTGGTTTTAGTCATGACGGTGTTGCAGTAAAATAAAGGAAACCTTCCTAATACTGGTTTATTAGACTTCAGGGAGCTGAATATATTTATGAAAGTATTGATAGCAAAGACAGATGAGTGTGTTGACAAACTTTGAGACTGGTGACAGATCAAAGAAAATTTTTAAATAATTGATTTATCTTCAGTGTACCTGCAACTAAAAATTGATGATAAATAATTTTTATTTACCACAAAACACAATAGTTTGATAATCTGGGCTTATCAAACTATTGTGTTTTGTGGACAAAGGTTTTTTTTAACATATTTGGAATTTGGTCTAAATGTTGTTCCAGTCATAATGAGATGTTGGAAAAAGTTCTATCACAAGACAAAAAAATCTGGAAAAGAACCTCATCATACATTATTGATATTTTTGTGAATAAAAAAATGGTACCTATTCAATGCGTACTTGACCATTTGGAAATGTATATACTACATTGTAAACCAGTGGTTTGCATGTCTGAAGGAGCAAGAGTTCTAGGGTTACAAGTTGGAATTGAAAAAAAATGTTTTGTTGGGGAAGAGATAATGTTTTTTGTGAAAATCACTAACAAGATGTAACATTTTTTGTTAGTTGAGAAAAATGACAGAATGGTTTAGTTTGCAGTTGCGTGTAGCTTTGATGTATGTTAAAAGAATGGCAAGAATAAAAAAACAAAATGTGATTATGTTGAAAAAATGCTGAATGATATGGTTAAAAGAACACATAATCAATCCTGCAAAGGGAATTCAGAGTGTTTATGGTAAGGAGGCAATGGTTTAGGTGGATGCTAGTTCAATAGTACTAGGCGTGATTGTCAAGGTTAATGGCAATATAATTGAAAACGCTTATTGGTTAAGAAAAGATGACATAACAAGCCTTCCCAGGAAAGCCGTGCGGTTTTTCATCTTGTATGACCACATGCGATTATAATATTTTAGAAAACGTGAACACAGCCATTTGCAAGTTTTATAATAATGCTGAAAAAGTTTCAAAAACAAAAAAACAAAACTAACAAAATAAAAATAGATTGAAATAGAAAAAAAATAAAAACAAATTAATAATTTAAATAATTTGTGTACTGTTTTTATTTTTGTTTTTTTAGAGTTACATTCAGCAACAAAATTAGATAAGGCGAAGCAAAAAAAAAACAGTTTGAAGTCTACAATAAAAAGAATGATTTTCCTTTTCTTAATTTTTTTTTAGAGGATAGCGAAAATACAAATTGCAATGTGTTTGTAAAATTTATTTGTATAATTTTAATGTAACAACAAGGGTTGAATTAAGCGAATGCAAAACGCAAAATCTGGAAAAATATCTAGTATTCAAAATTTTAGTTTATACAAAACTGTGTTCCTTGTTTTTAAGGGGAGAATCAACTTAAATTTGTCAGCGAAAAAATAAAACAATAAACATACGATTACAAAAGTAATAACACTCTAGTCACTAACTGCATTACAAAAGTAATAACACTATAATAGCGTTATTACTTTTATAACGCACTTATAACTTTTAAAATTCATTCTTTGTTCAAGCAACATTATTATTCCCAAATTTTAATTGAAGTAGAAAAATATCTAGAAGAATAAAGTGGATGCTCAAATAATATTAAAACTAAAGTAACTTATAAAATCGTGACAAACAACTTTATAAAAGCGTATCGTATTAAAAATTTAGCAATAAACGTACGATTACAAAAGTAATAACACTCTAGTCACTAATTGCATTACAAAAGTAATAACACTATAATAGTGTTATTACTTTTATAACGCACTTATAACTTTTAAAATTCATTCTTTGTTCAAGCAACATTATTATTCCCAAATTTTAATTGAAGTAGAAAATATCTAGAAGAATAAAGTGGATGCTCAAATAATATTAAAACTAAAGTAACTTATAAAATCGTGACAAACAACTTTATAAAAGCGTATCGTATTAAAAATTAAAAATTTATGAAAAACGTTACTAATGGACCATTAAACGCGCGTTAATTTTAAAATTAACCAATAAAAACTTTTTATTGGTTGATTTTAAAATTAACACGCGTTTTTACGTAACACTTTTCATAATGCTATACTTTTTATAAAGTACTTTTTTATAACGTTGTTTAAGTGATATGTGAAAGTTCCTGAAATTTTTAATAATATTTGAATATCAGCTTTA